ATTAAACTTACATAGATATTCATATAAAATCAGATTAAAATAATGATCATAATAATAATAGCGTATTGAAATCTCCTTTGGGTGATATAACAATACACGATAATAAACATAATTGATGCTTGACTTAAATTTAACATAATTGATAATTGCTTGTACTCAAGTTAGACATGTCTATTATCTTTGGATATATAAACATATCTTAACTTAGTATATAAATAGATTACAATTATATTCAATGATTATAAAACAAATGATCAACCTTTGAGCGATCTAAAAATATTTTATAATAAATGAATTTTAATATTTTTTTAACAAAAATATTAAATTATTTCATAACAAGCATCACATACTCTTGATTAATTGAATTTATTTAATTTAACGTCTACTAAACTTATTAATTTGGTCACTTTGGTGACTAAATAAATAATAATTTCAATCATATCAATTTACTTTAGTTTTATTGATCTAATTAAAAATCTAATTCACAGCGAAAATTTATTACAATTAACATAAATAAAATTATATGAAAAATCATAAATTTAGTAATCAAGTCTCTGATACCACATGTTAGAAAATTCATGTTTCAACTTTATGACACAAATTTCAAAAGAAAAAGTACATAATAGCCAAGATCTTTTAAATTCATGATTTTTTTCATATTTAAAATAAAGTGACGCATACCTGTATTTATGATGAACAAATTTGATCTTGAAGAGATGGAGTTTCTCTCTCTAATCCCTTGAAACTTTCTGTATTTTCTGATGGAGAGAAATGTACGGGGTGTGTTAGGTAGAGAGAGGACCCATTCTCAAATTCATGCTCTATTTAACCACCATCCATCAAGGGGGGTTACTAAATAATACGATTTATGATAATTTAATAAATTAATTGATTTTTATTAATAAAATAAATTAATTGATAATAAATTAATTGATTTTTATTAATAAAATCAATGATATAAGTTAGTAACATTTATTTATTTTAGGGGTTATATGAGTTATAAAAATAAATATCATAAGTTATCATAAGTTATGACATAAGTTGTGAGTTAACAAAATAAATAACTTAAGTTATCAAAATAAATATCATAAGTTGTCATAATTTATGACATAAGTTATGAGTTAAGAAAATTAATAACTTAAGTTATCAAAAATAAATCTCAGAAGTTATTAAAATAAATGTGAGTCATAAATAAAAAATATAACACACATCACATCAAAAAAACCCCTATTGCTACCTTTAAAAAGTGAAACGTAGGTAAATGACATAAAGTGACATTGATGTAAAAAAAAATCGATGTTTATATGTTAGATATGTAAATACATTAGAATTATGTGGGAGTGCAAGCAAACATTCCTTTTTTTTTCTTCTTTTTTCCTTCTTCCTTCCAAATGGCTTACTATAAATTTACAAATATTTAATTAAGTTATAAAACTAATTAAATATTCCACCAAATTACAAAAAAATCATAGTTTGTTTTCACTGAATCCTGATCTAGTAATGTATCAAAACTACTTCAAATTCTTTAAAGATTAAGGCATAAAAAAGAAGTGTGTGAGAGAAATGCATGGTAATCCTATGTTTATATTCATAAAATGAACATCTATTTATAGGTAGAACAATACAATATGTGATATTACATATTTGTCTCTGCTTATTTAAATTTACAAGTATTTAATTAAGCAATGAGAATGATTGCATATCCCACCAAAATTACACAATAATCATAATTTATTTTGAAACAAATATTATTTTTATTATGTTGAACTTCAAATATATATCAAACATGACATTATATATATATATATAGTTTCATCTTGGATTTAAAGATTGTTTGGTAGTCATTTATGTTTTATTGCTTGAACTTATTATCCGGCCGATTGTTTTCTTTTTAAAGCTTAGGCACATGGCATATTATTATTATTATTATTATAAAAAAGGGATATATTAAAATATTATCAAATATTTATTGAATTCTCGTGGAATATGTCTGGCAACATCTTTGGTTTCATTTATGTGTGAAAAAAGATGATTACTCTACTTGAATGCAAATATTACCTTCTATTAGCACAATATTTTGACAGGGGCATTTACATGCATACCACACAATTCTTATTTATTTACGTTTTTTACCACAAAACTTTAAGACATACATCAAGTTTAAAATAGTATGAATAATTTTGATATAATGAATACATGTTAGGCATATATTAAGTTGTCTTATCATAAATATATATAAATATGCAGTATTTGTTGGATGTAATTATCTGTAAATTTCACCGACTCTTCAAATCCTAATTTCACCAATTTTATTACAACTTTTTTTTGGCAGGTCAAAAAGTTAAATTTCTGCAATATTTTAGTAGATTTTTAGTTTCGCTTTTTATTATATTAATTTATTTAAATTTTTATTCGAATCAAAATATATTTAAATCTTTAAAAATATTCAAAAATTCTGGCAATCATTTTCATTGTTTAAGAAAAAAATAGTTTCTTTTAAAAATTAAAAAAAATATTAAAAATCATATATACAAAACACTTTTTTTTAAATAAAATAAAATAAATAAATTGATGTATTGCTCTCAAAATTAAAACACAAAATAAAAAATGAAATAATGAGTTTAACGCAACTCATTAATATTATGAAAAATTCATATATTCTAAACATAAACAAATATATATATTAAACTACTTTTGTGTACATAATTAATAAAACAGTATAAATAGGTAGTTGTCAGGGGTGATATATCAATATAAGCGCAGCACTGAAGAAAAAGATGGGAGAGGTAGAAGATGAAAACAGAGCAGCAGCTAAAGAAGAAGAGACGAATCACAAAAACTATCTTCCCTATTACAAACTATTTAGTTTAGCAGACTCCATTGATATAACCCTGATGATCCTCGGCTCAGCCGGAGCCATCGCCAACGGAGCCGTCATGCCTCTCTGCATGCTTCTCGGAGGAAGAATCACTGATTCTTATGGAGCCGGCGACGTCTCCGCTCTTCTTCACGCAGTCTCCACTGTACATCATCCTCATCTTCTTCTTCTTCTTATTATAATTATTATCTTTAACTTTTTGTGGTTGCAGCTGACTCTGCAAATGTTCTTTCTGGCGCTGGGATCGGGGCTGGTGTCCTTTTTCCGTATGTGATCTTCATAAATATCAGAATGATTTTTGTAATTTTCTTTTCTTTTTAGAATAGATGTTGAGACATATAATATAATGAAAAATCTCAGAGGTGAGCTGCTGGATGGTCGCTGGGGAGAGACAAGCAGCAAAAATAAGGAGTTCATACTTTAAAGCCCTTTTAAAACAAGAAATTGCATTCTTTGATTTGGAAATAAACTCGGGAGAAGTGGTCGGGAGAATGTCGGGAGACATCATCCTCATTCAAGAAGCCATGGGCGAGCAGGTTTTTATTTATACCACTTAAGTCCTCTGTATTTACATATTTAACACCCAAACTTTAATTTTTACATTTATACCAGCCAAATCTTTCATGTCATTATTCAATTTCTTAAAGGGCGAAATATAACTTTTCATCCAAAGGGTAAGAGTTGAAGTTCAAAAATGTTAGGTATGTAAATGCATAGAAATTAATTCACACGACAGTTATGTAAATCCATCGATTTCAAATAAAAATAGATATTTAGCTACCTAGCACAGAGTTTTTATGTTCTTACACATCTCGCCCCTAGACTTTCATATTTACATTTACACAACTTAATTTAGTGCTTTAAACCTATGAATAAAAGAAATATTTAAGTCTGTTAGTGTTATGTTTCATATGATATTAAGAATTTGATTAATCCTATGCGTGTAAAAACATAAAAAACTATAGAAGTTGGATGTTTACATACATAAGATTTGTGTATACATGTGATGTGTGTGTGCGCATGTGTGTGCATGTGTGTATATATATATATATATATATATAAGAGAGAGAGAGAGATTGTGAGTTGGCGTGAAAGCCATATGCTGTTTTAAAAATAAAGGCAAATGAGTGTGTCATATTTGTTATTGGAAGTTTCAGCCATTTTGAGTTTTTAAACTTTATTAATTTATTGGAAGAAAAAAACTAAAATAAATGAGCTGTATTTTTCTGTCAACTATGCTTCGAAGAGTCATTTATATTTTATTGCTTAAACTTATTATCCATCCTACCCTTTGCTCTTTCAAGCTTAGATTTCTTTTGTTTACCACATTATTATTATTATTATTATTATTTTTTTTTTGAAAAAAAGGACGGATTAAAATATTTTCTTGAAATATTTGTTGGATTCTTTTGGACAACAGCTATGCTTTTATTTATGCGAAACAAAATATTTTTTGGGGCATTTACAAACATATCCAACAATTCTTATGTATTTACATATTTAAGACCTGAACTTTTTAATGCTCAAATCATAATTCATATTTTTTTATGCAAAGGTGTATGGTATCATGATTTAATAAATGTAAATATCAAACTTTAGGTGCCATATGTGTAAATCTGTAAGAATTATGTGGAATGTATGCAAATTTTTGTATTTTTTAAAATGGTCCACATTAGATACAAAATTGCTTGTGAAAATATAATAGAAGTATATAAATGATTCCAAATTAAAAAATAATAAAAGGGACAAAGACAAAGTCTCAATGAAACATCACAAATTGAGAACTTATTCAAGCATTTTAAACAACCATACCTTAGAAACATAATTCTTATATTTTGATTGACTTCCTTATAAAAAACTGCAAATTTTTTTTAGTCATCCGATTTGTTGGCATCACTTTTGAATTTTATTTATTTCTTTATTTATATTTTAATTTATTTATATTTTTACTTTAAAAAAACATATATTTGATGTATTATAACATGCTTAGCTATTTTTAACAATAATAAAATAACTTTCACATTTTTAAAAATATTTTTAAAAAATAAGTAAATTTATCTTTGAAAAAAAATCATACAAAAATGAACTAAACAAACATATTTTAATTTTTTTTTTAAATGACCACAATTAACCGCTACCTTTTGTGTTTCAAATTCACATCAAATTTGTTAGACATGATCCAATTTTTACTCGAGAGGAATTTTTTTATTTTCTAAGGACTCATTTAGGATCATTTTTATTTTTCATTTTTGCTTTTATTTTTATTTTTTAAAATATAATTTTTAATTTATTTTTTATATTTTTATATTTTTTATTTCTAAAAATAAATTAACATATTTTTTAAAACACTTAAAACTATTTAAACATTTTCAGTATTTTACAAAACAATCATATCTCAATCAAATATACAAACATGTTTTATTTTAAATAAAAAAATAAACAATATAAAATAAAAAAAATAATAAAAAACAAAAAAATAAAAGTAATTTCAAAAGTCCCTTAAGAAAATGAACACAATTTGATATTTATTTTCCGAGAATAAATCTCAAACCAATTTCCCGATTTGTCTCAATTTTGCAGGTTGGAAAGTTCATCAATCTAATATCAACATTCATTATTTCCTTCGCCATCTCATTTGCCAGAGGTTGGCTACTCACATTGATCATGCTGTCTACAATTCCTCCTATGGCTGTTTGTGGCGCCGTATTGTCAATTGTTCTATCCAAAATGTCCTCGAATGAACAAAAATCATATGCCAAAGCTTCAGAAATTGTGGAACAAACCATAGGCTCAATTAGAACAGTAAGCGGCAGCACAAAATGAAGTCAGAATTCTGCAGAAGAAAAAAAAAAACTCATTAATTAGAACTAAATTGTAATGTTCAAGGTAAAAACTAAATATGATGTTAATGTTGCTAGGTGGCAGCTTATACAGGGGAGAATATTGCAGTGCAGAAGTATAAGAAGGCATTAAATGGTGCCTATATTTCTTGTATTTATGAGGGGTTGGCTTCTGGTTTTGGTGCCGGGCTTGTATTTTTCCTTAACTACAGCAGCTATGCTTTTGGAATGTGGAACAGCTCAAATCTGATATTAAATAGAGGATACACAGGTGGAGTTATCCTTTCTGTTATCTTCACAGTTCTGATTGGTGCTTTGTAAGTTACTCATTTCCTGTTTTTTTTTTCTTTTTGAGAGAGAGATTTACATAAATATCACACAAATCTTATGTATTTACATATCTAAAAGATATACTTCAATTTTTACAAGAATGGCACCTTACTTTTGCACGAGGTGTATTTCACTTTTAAAAAAGTTAAAATAGTGGTATTTTTTATGTGATATGAAAGATTTGGGAGGTATGAATGAAGAAAATAAAGCTAGGTGTTAGATATGTAAAATACATAGGAATTGGGTGGTATGCATGTAAATGTAAATGCCCCTTTTTTTGTATCATCTGAGTTAAGTTCACTGATATCAGATGTGCAAAAGATGGAAAACATTTGAAACTTGTTTTGTTTCTTATGGAATAAATACGGCTTAACTGAATGAAACAATCACCTATTGGAAATAAGAAAACATAAATAAAATGTCTTGCAATTAAAGAATGTTTGTATATAAGGAAATTACGTCACCTTTGCAGAGCTTTAGGTCAGGCATTTCCATGCTTGGCAGCATTTTCAAATGGCCGAGCGGCTGCAAAAAGAATTTTCGATACGATCAACAGAAAGTCAAACATCGACCCGTATGACACGACGGGTAAACAATTGGATGACATTAATGGTGACATCGAATTCAAAGAAGTTTACTTCAGCTATCCAACCAGACCTGAAGAACAAATATTTCAAGGGTTCTCTCTTTTTATTCGTGGCGGCACCACTATGGCATTGGTTGGGGAGAGCGGGAGCGGGAAGTCGACGATAATAAGTTTGATCGAAAGGTTTTACGACTCACAGGCCGGCGAAATCCTCATTGATGGAATAAACATAAAGCACTTCCAGATTAGATGGCTAAGGGGAAAAATTGGAATGGTGAGCCAAGAGCCAATCCTTTTTACCTCAAGCATTGGAGAAAATATCTCATATGGGAAGGATAATGCAACAATAGAAGAGATCAGAGCGGCTGCCAACCTAGCTAATGCTTCAAGGTTCATTGACATGATGCCTCAGGTAACAGCCCAATTCCCATTTATTTACATGAGTAAAGTGCCAAAATTCCCATGTATTTACATACGAGTAAAGTGCCAAAATAGTCCCCTGACTGTTTGGTGTGATCATTTTAGTCCCAGACTCTATAAAAGTGTGAAATTAGTCCCTACAGTCTTTAAATTGGGGCTTTTCAATCCACATATTAAAAGAATCTGAGGATTAAATTAGCACTTCTATAGACTATAGGACTGAAATAACCCCCTTTAAAGAATCAAGGGTCTATTTTGACAGTTTTCTCATTTACATATATAGCACCTAAACTTTATTTTTTTTACATTTACAACCCAAATAATTCATATCATGTCAAAAAAAAAAAAAAAACACTATTTTGGCATTTAAAATGTGAAAAACATCTTTCCATACATAGGTAAGTTACATGTATGTAGAAGTTAAAGTTTAGATATAAGATATGTAAATACATAAGACTTGAATGGCATGTATGTAAATGTACCTTTTTTTTCATGTTGACAGGGGCTAGATACCATGGTTGGTGAGCATGGGTCTCAACTATCTGGCGGACAGAAGCAAAGAATAGCACTTGCAAGAGCTATATTGAAGGATCCAAGAATATTACTACTAGACGAAGCCACTAGTGCTCTTGATGTCGAATCTGAACAAATTGTGCAGGAGGCAATTGATAGAATTATGTTGAACCGAACTACAATCATGGTTGCTCATAGATTGAGTACAATAAGGAAAGCAGATACCATAGCAGTTATTAATCAAGGCTCCATTGTTGAAAAAGGTTTGGCTTCTTATTTTGAAAACATATGTGGTTGCTTCTGGAGGTCCAACCAAATATAAATTGAACATTTACTATTCGGTTGTTTACTTTAATGAAATCTCAAGCACTAATTTATTTTACTGCTTTTTTCGGGTAATTCTTTGATCAGGCTCACATTCTGAACTCGTGGACAATCCAAATGGAGCTTACAGCAAACTGATAAAACTACAGAATATGAACCAATTCTCTGAGAAGACATCTTTATTTGAAGAAGCAAGGCTTACGAGTCAGCGCACGTCATTCAAAAGCAATAAAAGTAATGAATCGCCAATGAGGCAAAGCAGCCAACATTTCCCATTCAATATAGGCCTTAATGAATTATCTCAAACACATAGCCGCCGCTGCCATTCCTTCAAATTAGAACTAGAAGAATCATCCCCGGATCTGGGAAACGGTAGCCGCCGCTACTCATTCAAAATAGGGCTTGGAGTTCCGATAGAGATTACATCAGAGGCGCTCAAAACTACCATTCCTGATGATAAAACAAATAAGATGTCACTCCACAGCCTTGCGTACCTAAACAAGCCGGAGATTCCAGTGTTATTGATTGGTTCGGTAGCTGCAATAATCAATGGATTTGTCTTCCCAGCCATAGGAATAATATTTTCTAGTGCGATAGTTACTCTCTATAAGCCGCCGGAAGAGCTGAAGAATGATACTAAGTTTTGGTCATTGATGTTTTTGGTAATTGCCATTGTTGCCCTAATCTCAACACAAGTGAGGTCATATTTCTTTGCAGTAGCTGGTTCCAAGTTGATAAGGAGGATCAGAATGATAAGCTTTGAGAAGGTTATAAACATGGAGATGGCCTGGTTTGATGATCCTGAGAATTCCAGTGGAGTGGTTGGTTCGAGATTATCGACCGATGCAACTAAAGTTCGAAGTCTTGTGGGAGATAAGCTCGGACTGATTGTTCAGAATGCCGCATCTTTAATTGTTGGCTTAACTATTGCCTTCGCAGCCAGTTGGGAGACCTCACTAATCATATTGGGAGTAGTCCCTTTAGTTGGTATCAACGCATGGATTCAGATAAAATTCATTACAGGATTCAGCGATGCGGATGTGTGCCTCTAAAGAACATTAAGGGCTCTCTGAATTACATACATATCATACAATTCTTATGTATTTATTTACATATCTCACATCTAAACTTTCATATTTACACACACAACAGTCAAATCTTAAATACAACATCAATAATAGCAATATTACCACTTTTTAAAAGTCAACTAAACATTTTCATGCACAGATTTAAAACAGCAAAGCACTATTTATGTAAATTTGAAATTTTGGGTGTGAGATGTGTAAATACATAAGAATTGTCTGCTTCATATTTAAATTTCCCTGAAAACAAAATACAGAGAATTTCATGAATGTCAAATTACTTAAACTAACAAAATACAGATATTGCTGGTTGCAGAAGATGTTTTTGGGAGCAAGCCAGTTGTCCAATGATGCCGTGGGAAACATAAGGACAGTTGCCTCATTCTCAGCTGAAGAAAAGGTAGTTGCACTGTACAAAAAGAAGTGCGATGAACCTATGAGATTGGGAATTAGACAAGCAGTTATAAGTGGGATTGGTTTTGGGATTTCTCAGCTTTTCTTGTACAGTGCTTATGCTGCCATCTTATATTTTGGAGCTCGATTGATTCAGGATGGCAAGTCCACATTTGAGGAAGTCTTTCGGGTATGTACGACATTAACATTATTAGGCTTTAACATTTTTTACATCTTATTATACTGCATATCATAATGTGACTTAACACAAAATGTGCAACAAGACGCTATGTCTTTTTGATATTCCATCTTCATAGATTGCCGTTGTATTTATCATATTTAGTTATAGACTATTTATTTTAATTCTAAATCTTATATCATTTAATTTAGATTTAAAGCACCTATCACCCCACATAATATATTACATGTAATTATAACATATTCTTCAGTTTTTTAGTGACTAGAGGAAAGAATGGCCTATAATTTAAAATTGTTCAATCGTATTTTGACTAAAAAATCTCTTGCCTTATTATGATTTTTTAATATCATGGATATTTGGTAATAAATACTCTTATCAACTTGAAATGCCCGTCATGTGTAACTCCTCTCAATTCACCATATAGTAAATTATCAAAAAATGTTTAAAGCTCAAATATCCTAACAAAAGTTTCATAAGGATTTGTTTTAAAGCAGTTTGATTTGCTTGAAGGTGTGTGCAAATAATTGACTAATCAGTCAACCGTAGTAATAGATTTATCTCAAAGCAAATTTAATGACTTTAAAATGACCAAATTTTCTCTTGAATAGACCATCAACTCATATTTGTTTTGATTGGATCATAAAGAAAAAGGCTTCAAATAAAAAGAAAGAAAAAGAATACTCTAACAAATAATTAAAAATAATTCCATCAACAAAGCTAAAGATTTATGCATATTAAATAAAAAACCAACCAGGAATTCCACAAAGTTAAAAAGAATAAACTGAATATCAGTATAAATAGTATTTCAGGAGAACGGTCAAATCAAATCCAACAATTCTACATTGTTTCAAGTCTTAAATAGCAAGAAATGTTAATTTTAGGTTGACTATTATTCATGAAATGGTCAAAGCCCAACCAACAACAGTTCAAATTTAACGTTGAAAAGATGATTGAAATAATTTATGCCAATGTTTTTATATGTGAAATAATTCATTTTCATATAATATATCCAATGCAGTCTATTTCAGGTAGATGTCCACATCCCATAAATGATTGATCACAAGGGCATCAGGGTAAGTGGAGATGACAGCCAAAACAAAGATGAGTAGACAATCTTCACGTCCCAAAAAAGCCTAAATATACTAATTTGGTTTCAATTCTAGGATTTGTTTTAATTCGTTCAGGTAGGCTATGCTTTCACTACAACGCCATCCGTGCTTAGCAATGAGCTCCACCATAGTTTGCATGGGCTATTCTTCTAAATTGGGGCGTCCCAACATTTTCATCCTCCTTTACACTAGTAGCTTCATTTTCTATTGCATGGATGACAACTAGTATTGCAGACCTAAACGCACAACATTGGGGCCTGCTTAATAGAAATGCACAGTAGGACTGCTCCAAACACTACAGGTGTAGAACCATTGTGACTCTTATGGGGACTCCACCTAAAGACACCACAGAGCTAAAGCAAGCTCTTCTTTATGGCTACAGAGTACAACTCCTAGGGACTCTATTCACCTAAGGCACCATAAACTGCACGTAAGCCCTCTCATATAGCTAGAGACAATAGCTTATAGGGACTCCTCAAGAAAAGATATCTCTTTGCACCACATGAAGCTTAAATTCACCTTTTTGGTGATTGATTTTTTTAATATATTTAATTCTAAATTTTTTTTATTGGCTTAATTGGAGCTCTTGATATCTCTTTGTACCACATGTAGCTTAAATTTTCCATTTTGGTGATTGGTTTTTTTAATATATTTAATTCTAAATATTTTTTTGTTGGCTTAGTTGGAGATCTTGATATAGCAACTAAACAAGAGTGTATGGGAAATAGGGACAACATAAATTTGATCATCCTGGATAAATTGCTAAAAACTAATGATGAAAATAACTATATATGCATATAACATGGCACTTTAGTACTCTTACAGGAGAAATAGTGTGCATTTTGCTTTGCAGTTGATAATAAGGTATGAGAAAGAGTATGCGTAACTTAGAACTGGAGTTAAGGGAATATTTGTCTTAAATTGAAAGGAGAAGAAGGAGAAATTTTCTTCTATAAGTTCTAAAGATTGTATTGGCCTGATCATCTAGCCAATTTATTTCATAAGGTTTTTCTTGGCTATCTGTTCAATGATGATTGCAGAATTTTTTTCTTTTTATAAATTTTACCAATAAATTGGATAGAACTCCTATTCACTTGTGCAAATTATTATGTATGTTAAATGTCCTTCTCTTTCACAATTTCTAGACTATTTAAGGTAAAAAAGTGTTGGTTCTCACAATAGAAAAAAGCAATCTTTTCAATTTCAATTTATTTAGCAAAAAATAATAAATCTTTTTATCTTCAATATATTTAAATAGAATGAAACTTTTCCTCAAAATTGAATTTAAAAAATCCTTGTCTGCTATCCCTATTTCTGAACAATAATTTGTTCGTGTACTAATCAATTTCATGGGATAAAATTTTGCAGGCTTTCTACGTCCTGGTCATAGCAACAGTAGGAATATTTCAATCAACCTCACAAGGCCCAGATTCCCGCAAAGCTAAAACTGCAACAGCTTCCATTTTTGCTCTCATTAACCGCGAATCCAAAATAAACCCAAGCATTGCTTCGGGAAAAACCCTAGAAACCATTGAGGGTAATATCAGATTTAATCATGTCTGCTTCAAGTACCCTGCAAGGCCTGATATCCAGGTTTTTCAAAACATGTGCTTAGAAGTTCAAGCAGGAAAGGTAGCATGCTACATTAGACAAAAGAGAAAAGTATCAAAATAGTCACTCTTTGCAGGGTAATTTTAGTCCCATGATCTAAAAAAGTGTAACTTAATTCCAAAAATGTTTTAATATGGGTCCCAATGGATCAGTATTATGGCCCCAATTTAAAAATTCAGGGAACTAATCTGGCACTTTTAGACTTTGGGACTAAAATGTCTCCATGTAAATAGTCGGTACTATTTTGGCACTATGCTCTTAGAGAAAACTAATTATAAGTTGGAATAATTTCATCCTCTTCCTTGTTTTCTTTTGTATATTTTGAGTAACAAATTGCAATTTATTTGACAGACCATTGCAATAGTAGGGGAAAGTGGTAGTGGTAAATCAACAATAATAGCATTGCTACAAAGATTTTATGATCCCGATGCAGGACAAATATCAGTAGATGGAATAGAACTTCAACAGTTTCAACTGAGATGGTTGAGGCAGCAAATGGGATTGGTAAGCCAGGAACCAATTTTGTTTAATGACACCATCCATGCCAACATTGCTTATGGTAATGAAGATGGGAAGGCTACACAAGCTGAGATCATGGCTGCCGCTGAGTTAGCAAACGCACACAAGTTCATAAGCAGCTTGCAGCAGGTTTTTTCTTATACAGTTTTAGCTAATCAATTATATATTAGGTCATTTACTTTTCCATCCCATTTTTCGCATAAAAGAATTTCTTCAAAAAAACGCAACTTCATTTTTTCAATCCATTTCTTCATGCAGAAATTATTAGTCCCTTCATTAAGAAGCTTTTTAGGATTTAGAACAAGAGAACTCTATTATTTTTTCCCCGCTTTCTTTTTCCTTGCATCGCTTCTATAATAACCAAACTTGAGAAAACTTTATTATTTTTTCCCCGCTTTCTTTTTCCTGCAGTTTTGCATCGCTTCTATAATAACCAAACTTGATTCATGGACCAATGGGCCTATAACAATTATATCTATCATGATTTGAGGTAGATGATAATTAAGTCCATACCTGTTAAATTCACAAGTAGGTCCCTCAAATAACTATAAAAATTTCTAGAAGGAGAAACACAACCCTAGCAACATTACCCATGATGAAGAAATTTAATCTCAACTTTCAAGAGTCAAGACAAAGTTTAGCAGTTTTGTATGCAAGAGAAAAAATTCATTCGTGAACATTTGTAAATGAAAATGCATAGTCATAAGTCACTCATAAATATAAGAACTAAAAATTTATTGCATCAACAAAATACTTGGTCTATGAAAAACTAAAACATCAACTAATAAAAAGAAAATGAATAAATTACATCTACAATGATGCATAACTCAATAAAAGTTCAAATAAAGAATTACAACTTAGTCGTTAATACCGATCAAGGAAAACTATGGATATGCTCTTATAGTGAAGGTCCATAATTCAACCCGGTAAAATCTACTAAGAGAAAAGTTGATTTCAAAATGATTTTATTGTGAAAACTCAATAAATAGCTTTTATTTGTTAAATCATAAATGAACAATAAAAGAAGCACAATCTATAATGCAATATCAATATAATGAATATAATCGTAGCATTATAAAAAGACACTATTACATGATGAATGATAAAAAAAATCAATTGTTCTACAATGCTAACATACGTGTGACCACATCAGACATCTTCATATATCCAAATATAACTCATCAGTCATTTATCATAATACATTTTATATGTATATGCATAGTCGATTGTTCAAGATATCATAAATAAGAGAAAGGGTTTCACCCACTTAGATGGTCCAACACCCCTGAGTCATTATTCTATCAACACGTTCATCAGTCAGTACATCATATTAGTAGGAGAATACTACTAACATTTACATTTACAACCATCACACATTATGTGCGTCCTATGCAAATGTTACAACAAATCATCTAGCAGCCATATGATCAACTTTACTTTATATCAACATAATGTAATTTGCATGAAAAATATTTATTTCACATAAACTAATATAATACATGTGTAAAACAAGTTGCCATTATATGAAGCATTTCAAGAAGTTTGAACTTATGCATCAATTAATATAATAAAGTTATTTCCACATCATATAGCATTTCAATATGGACATTAAAACGTTGATCAATTTGTAAGGTAAACTAAATATGAAAGGTATTGCTGAATGTGTAAGTTATAACTGACAATCTAATAAATGTTGAAGTAACATATTGCAATCATAAAACATAACATCCCTAATAATAAATGGTATATTTATCCTCTCATAAAAATATAAGTTACCAGCCTCAATATACAAAGCCAAAATTCAAAGCTCAATAGAGATCCAAAGGAGCAACACCATATGTGCACCAACCAAATATCCTAAATATTCAGAGCTCTAAATCAAACAGAGTCACAACGTAGAATTGAACAATAATCAACTAATATTGTTGAACCATGATAATTATAATTAAATCATAATTAATTTAGATTGCCTATATTAAACTGATTATTATGAACTTAATTAAAATCTATCTGTAAATCTATTCTTATCGAAACCCAAATTAAGATGTACGAGAATTTAACATATATAACAATAATGATAAAAAGGGGGCAATGAAACAAGCAATGAAGCACCAAGAAGCAAAAAAAAACAGCATAATCTCTCCAAGGAATCAATAAAATAAATAAATTGATTGGAATGAGGACTTGAGAAAAAATGAAGAAGGTTAAGGAATCAAGAATTTACCCTATAGGCCTACACAATGCCTTGTCACCTAGTTCAAAACTTGAGAAGGAAGAACTCATGGTGGAACTCTTGCAGCAATGAAATTAAGGGAGAGAAGGGAAAGAATGCAAGGTTGGAGGCCTTATGAGGAAAGCTCATAGCGACTCTGATTGCAGTTAAGAGAAGCACGTGTAGAGGAGGGCGATGATGACATTCATTCAAGGAAGCGTACGTGATGCCTTACCTCCTTGTTCTTCTTAAATCATAAAACAGTGGTAATGGAGGGCATGTGAACATCAAAAGAAGGCGAGATTGCAGCGACACAGGGTTTTGGATTGAGTTAGGCAAGTAAGATAAAATAAATAAATAAACGGTTTATATACATACATAAAATTCAATAAATAAAGATCCTTTATTTAAAAAAAAAAAGTAAAAAGTTTGATTTGCATATGTGGGAATTTTCTGATATGACTATTCGTGTTCTCAATTAGGCAAAAGTTCCCATAAATTTCTCAGTCTACTCGAAAAAGGTGGGGAAAACAGTCACTTTTCTCTCTACTCGCTTGAAAAGGGCGGGGGCAAACAATCACTTAATAACCATTTCTCAATCCCCCGCAAATCTCTCTCTCCCTCCCTCCTCCCTCCCCCCTCTTACCCACTCTCTTCCCCTCGCCCCAAAATTTAATAGAGATAGACAAGTAGCCATGGGAGGACATTTGAGTGCCATGTTCCCCAATAATTCTACAAAAGCAAATGATTGCATGACTGAACAAAAGGGGAATGAAAAATAAAACACTTGTTCATTGAAGATTTAAGGAATTTGAAGTTCAAATTTGAAACTAATTGACCTACTTTTTTTTCTTGACCCAAAATTAGGAGATCAAAATGCAATTTACCCAACATTTTCTCTTAACAAAATTGAGAATTAATCGATATTCAAAGCATAATTCATCCAATTTAAAACAAAAAATCTCTTACAAAATGCAAAACAGACATCGTAGCAATAAGTCTTGAGAATTATAAAATCTTTGAAAATTATTGCATGGCCCACAATTCCAGAAAAGAGTTATATGAAGCTAAAAAAAAAACATTTCACGCATTCTTATTGGCTTTCTACTCATAAAATAAAACACTCAAAATACTGACAGAACATATGTAGGCTTACGACACAGTGGTGGGAGAACGAGGCGTTCAACTGTCAGGCGGACAAAAGCAAAGGATAGCTATCGCACGTGCCATACTTAAGAAGCCAAAAATTCTGCTTCTAGATGAGGCGACCAGTGCTCTAGATGCAGCATCCGAGGAGGTCGTTCAAGCAGCATTGGATCAAATTATGAATGATCAAACAACAATTATTGTCACGCATCGACTCACTTCAATCAAGAATAATACTCTCATTGCAGTTCTCAAAAATGGGAGGATTATTGAAACAGGACAGCATGGTGTACTTACCAATATCAAGGATGGGGTGTATGCCACAATGATGGCAGTCCACACAAAGGCCAATTTATAAGGTTTAAATTTTTTTTTCTTATTATATAAAATTAATTTTCCAATATTATGAGATTTTCGAACGAGATAATCATGGATGCAACCCCATAATGCAAAGTACCATCATTGCGATTGTTTTTTTTTTGTCATGGTAAGAAAGTTCAAAGAAGAATAAAAATTTCACTAGTTGGTTGATCCTTGCAAGAAGTTTCTAAAAATTGGTGCAATTTCTCTTTTAAGCCTCGAGTTACTCCTAGCTTGATTTGTTTCCATCATCATTCCACATTGATTTGGTGCAAATTTGAAAAAAATCGGGTACTTCATTTCATATTTATTTTTATCTTTGAAAAACATCAAAAATGTGTCTTAGTATGTATTTTCCGTGTAAAGGGAAAATATCATCATTATGTCCTTGTTGGAATATTTTTATAAATTCATATTCGTAAAAGGTGCAACAAATGGATGTGATGTAAGTGAATAAGTTATGATATAAATACGGAAGGATTTCAGATAAATGCAAATTTAACCTTGAAGAACAAAATCGCAAAAAGAATTGAATAGGGATTTATTTGTAAAATTGCAATTTGAATTTCAAAAATAAGGGGGCGACTAGGTAGAAAGAAGAAAAAAGTGCATATAGAGAATTAAAAAAAAATTATAGAATTTATCCATACCCTGCAGTCACAGCCCCTCTATTCATTCATGGCTTAAAAGAATGCACTTAAAGACATATAGTAAAAGCAGGGCATCATTATTTCATATGGCATATCAATATAAAATGTAGACTTAGAAAGACATCAAGGACAACTTTCATAAGATAAAGGGAAATTTACATGGATACCGCACCATTCTTACGTATTTACACATCTAACACCAAAATTTTGACATCTACACTTATAATACCTTGATGTCATAACCTATGCATAAAAATTTGTACTTCACTTTTAAACACATGGTGATGATGGTATTTTTCATGTGAGATAATATTTTTTATGTGATGTTAAAGATTTGAGTGATATGCATGTGAATATGAATGTTTAGGTGTTAGATATATAAATAGATATGACCTGTGACAAATGTATGTGAATGCCCCTAATATATAACATAAATATATGCGACAGTCCAAAAACATCTGTATTTAAATTAGTCTAAAAAAAATTATGACTAACATGAGCACAAAAACATTGTATATAACCAAAAATTCAAAAAATATGGAAAATTACTCCCATGCGCTATCTAATTATGAAATAAATAAAATCTAGAATGTATTGAAGGTGAGACAAAGGTTGATTCATGTAAAAAAAAATTGAAAACTGCAAGTTTAGATTGAGCTTTATCCAAGCCAATCACCCAATAAGAGGGAGAATAAATTATTTCTATAATTTTTTTACAAAACTAATGACTACGGATGCAAATTATAAGTTGGCTAAGTAGAATGGAAGATGACATAGAAAATATCCATACATTAAGCCCTGATGGTAGAGAAGCTCTTAGCCACAGACCTTCAAAGAATGGATGGCAGTGGTTGTTTAGTATGGTGGAAAGAAGCTCATAGTAAGATGGAGGCACGATAAAGAAGATCAAATGTCAAAGAATGAATTTATGGGATTCTTTCCTGGTCAAGAGCCCTTGTAGAAAGAAAAAGAAGGGGAAAGATGGGTTGGGACTTCGGAGAAAACCTTTACCTGCAAAAAGAGAGGGGAGACGGGGAAAGATTAGGACCTATGTTTTGCTTGCAATTGTTTGTGATATTCATGACAAGTCTTCTTAATAAAAAAGATTTTAGAATCTTAGTAAATAGCTAAGTGTTGAACTGAAAACTTGCTCCACAAACAAATATCATTGAATATGATGCCGGAGAGGCATAACAAATACATGTAAAGAATGAAAGCAGCATCTCTCGATTGCAATCAAAACTACTCATCCATTGCCAATTTTGCGTAAATAGCCATTCAGGCCAGCCAATCATAATACCAACGGTGACCGAAATCGATCACAATTCCAATCAATCAAACATGATGTTGAAGATGGACAAAGGATGCAGCTCGCATAAGACAAATTCAAGATGAATCGATCATAGTCAAATTTACTCGAAACATTGCCCGTTTGCAAAACGGATCACATCGATGGGTCTAAATCACTGAAATTGCCAAAAGGAGTCATTTTGTTGTTAATTCGAGCAAGCACGATGAAAACATTAGGCAACTAACATGACAACACAAATCGATCAGTCAAGATGCCCATTGAAATAACTCAAAATGTAATATGTTCATGAAAGGGACTACGTCGATGCATTCAAAATGTCAGATATACTAAAAAAATGATTCCTTGCATCAACAAATTATTGCACCACAAAAATAATAAACAATGAGTGCAAAATTGCATGAATCAGGTGGTCTTCCCCAAGTATGGCACCAAAAAATATTTTAACATTGTTGGTAAACCAATGAAGCTACTCAAGTGGTCTCCGAATTTTGACCCCAATCATGAACCTCCTAATGTACCGGTATGACTTAGTCTACCTGGTCTCAAGCTTCACTATTTTCATCATTAGATCATTTACTCTATTGATGTTATACTTGAGAACCCTATGAAGCTAGATCTACCCACTTAGAACCTTACCAGACTTTCTGTGGCAAGAATACTTGTGGAAAGAGATATTACTTTACCTGATGTTACTGAAGTCTGGTTGGACACAACTCATAATGGATATTGCAAACAAATTATCATGGAGCATAGACCTCCTTATTGTTCTCATTGTAAGATGTTTGGGCATACCCTGAATAAATGTCATAAGCTTCATCATAATTTGAAATCTAAAGATCAAGTGAATAAGAATAGATCTAAGGATATATTTGTTCCACCTGGAGAGAAAACTACCACATGACAGGATTTGGTGTCTGGTTCTATTTCCCCTGTGGACCCTTCCCTTGAAAATATTATTTCTACGATCGATGAAAAGTTGGATGACTCTGCTGAGCAACCTACACTTTCAAACCCTATTGAAAACAGTATTGAAGGACTCCTACCTACATGGACTGATAATCAGGAGAACCTTGCAACTCCCCATCTTCAGGAAGTATCAGGGATAGAGGCGACAACTCTTACCTCACATACATTTGAACCTCTTGTGGGCACATTTGTTGGCAATCTTTCTACTGCAGTACTGTCATCTCATCTGAATGAGCAACAATCTTCGGATGAGAAAGGACAGCTCTACACTTTCAGGAGGAAGAAGAATGGAGATCTACTTGAGCTAAAGAGTCTAATGGAGGATACTTTGGTTACTTCGGGAATTGGTACGCATCTCGCCAATTTATTAGTTGGTTCCCTTCCGAAAACTAGAGGCAGAGACAGATGCAGAACTAAATTGGGTCGAACTGATTGATCTATATGTATCATCTTCTTTTGGGTTTTTAATTTTTCTTTTTTCTTTTTATGTGTTGTACCGTGTGGGTTGAGTGCCTATTTGGGCTCACTTATACAATCTATCTGTACCATTTTCTCTTTAATATAATTGCCCTTGGGTTTTATATATATATATATATATATATATATAAACTTGTATATGCATGTTTGGTTATGATGAAATCACCCCTTTATGGTATTAACGATGGGTTGTTAAGATACCCTGCATGTAAATGAAAAAATATAATGATATTAAAATATCTTAATTAGTATAATTTTTATATGATGCTCCTATGACGGGTAAACAGATCTAGAGTATAATAAAACCCATTGAATAACAAGAAATATCTAAGTGATTGTTTCCGTTCATTTTTCTCTTTTTTATTTTAAAAAAAGTCATCATCTTGTCCATCATCGTATACTTCCCCCATTCGAATAAATCTCTCTCCTGAATCAAATCAGTGATTCAAAGAGGAGAATAATTAAATAAGAAGGAACTAAAAAGAGAAATACGAAAAAGAGAAAAAAAAAAGAAAAAGAAAAACGTGGAGTTTACGTACGATAAACCTCGCAATGATAGGTCAAGTTTGTCCGCCCAAACAAGATCGGACGGAGGCACCTTAAACCAATATCCATGAAAAATATCCGTGAAAGAAGTATCTACATAGACTACCCATAACCATAGAGTCAGGTGTATGTACATGTTCTGGAGTCAAGAGCACTCCCAGAGGAACGTGTTCCTACTGATTAATTACATCTTGGGAGATACCCAAGAATACTCTCGATAAAAGGAGTTTCGTTTTATATTATCATAGCCTAGGGTATAGGCAATCAAAGAAATGTTATTCCATGTGAGAGGAGTCTCAATGCTTCAAAGCTAACGCTAAGTCATCGGGTAGAGAGAGTCTCTCACATCCCGAATGGGTAGCGACTCATCGGCACACGGGGCCCACGAAATAACATAAATCATCTTGACGGAGATATCCCAACACGTCAAAGCACGTCCGGCCATAAGAGCAGAGGACAAATCGTCGTATCCCAAATGAGCGGCAGCTCATTAGTATCAGGTCGTCAAGGTGATATCAACAAAGTCAAGGAGCGACATGGCTCAAAGGGGCTCAACAAAAAAAAAGGTAGAATGGTCCTAGAAGGTAAAGGTAACTGGGTCAGGGTACCACGGACCCTTCATACACAACTACTAAGACTTTAAGTCTACTTGGTCATGAAGGTAGTCGACCCAACACGTCCTGAAATCCCCGGCCAGCCATCTGGAATTGCATCATTCACGGGAACCTCGGTAACCCTAAGGTCAGAGGAAGAAAATTCTATCCTATGACTATAAGCTGAAGCTTCAAGATGTGGGACTTATACCTGCCAAAGTGTCAAGGATTCCTCAAGAAAAAAGAGAAAATAGAGATTAAACTACAAAGCTGGAAACACTCCAAACAAAAGGGCTTATACCCCGTCCGGGTTGGGGAGCCTTCTAACACATTAGACGCACTAAACAACCACCTATATGAAAGTATGTTGGGTCAGTCAGGTTGGAGAAGTACAAAGACTCCTCCTCGAAACATGCAAATATGGATGTAGTTATCTGAGGCGGCCCTAAGTATTGTGGAGGTTCTATTAATATATGCAGGAAAATAAAATTGCAAATTTTAAATCCTGAATATTTTAATCCTAAATTTTAATTATCTTGAATATTTTATGTAAGATTTTTGTAGAAAAATTTGGATTTTAAGTCCTAAAGAGTTTATGTTCCATCGTGAAATCCCAAAGAAACCACAGAAAGAAACAAAGAAAACACATGAAAATATGCAGACATGCAATATGATGCAAAAAAGCAAAACGAGCTAAATCAACATAATAAAAGATCAGTGCAGCTAGGTCCGCAACATATCCCAGAAAAGAAAAAGAGCGGTAGGACTCTGCATATACATGTCCGGTCCTAATTTTATATATCAATATAAAATACAGAATTAAGATACGGGACACGAGCATCTGCTCCTGGTCCCCTCCACGTGGTTCTCATGCCAAACGCCTTGAAACTCGTGCCCATATATTATTTCTGCGACAGAACTCTCCTAGACTCTAAAA